TGAAGACTAGGAAATGGCAATTTGTATAAGAGATTTTTTAAAACATTTTTATGATGCAACTAATGAATTATCAGGTATTTATTATCCAACTAGTTGTAATTTAGCTTATCAATTAATGATGATTAGTTATTGTTTTGCAAAATATAGAAAGAATCCACAATTTAAAAGTATTATTGAAATCAAGGTTCAAAGTATTGATACGTATCATGTCGATGGCTTCTTGATACGCCTCTCTAGGGGTTGTATCGGGTTAGCCACTAGTTTAGAGGGTAATTGGGCCTGAAATCAACCCCTCTGAACCGATTTCAAAAAAAAAATAAGTAAATCCTAAAAGAAGTACCGATACAAGTGGCGTATCGGCCTGTGTCGATACTTTGAACCTTGGTTGAAATAATGAAAAATAAATTTAAAAAATATTGGGAGAACGTTTCTCCTCTTTATTGCTTAGTTACAATATTAGATCCTAGGATTAAGAAATATGGTTTAGATATTTTACGTGAAACATATTGTTAAAATATGAATATTGAAATTGGAAATAAAAAAGAAGAAATTAATAGTTTATTATTTGAAATGTATGGTTTATATGAATCTGAAGTAATAAGGAATAATAAAAATTATACAACTTGTACAGCTGCATCTTCCACTTATGAACTTGAGTCTAGTAGTGGAAGATAAAAACTTTTTTTATTTAATAAGAGGCAGAAATCCACTCCTTCAACGACAAGTTCATTTACTAAACTTAATTTTTCAACAAGCAAATTTTTCTACTTTAGGTGATTCTTCCTTCACCTCAAAGGGAACAAATAACTTTGATATTTTATCCTAGTGGAGTGAGCATGCAAAAAAAATTCCTAGGTCTCGTCGCCATGGCACATGATCTACTAACCCCTCCGATATCTATAGTTCCACCGAAGTCTTGTTTTAGTGCATGTACTGGGGTGTTGGACGACAAGAAAAGCTATATGAATGATGAAAGTCTAAAGATGTGCATTTACTTTAAAAATTGGTTGGATGTTGATGATAGGTTACAAAACAAAGGAATGCATGACACTACACCTGATGTTTCACTTGAAGTAGATGATCAAAGTCAAGAACAATAGGAGAAAATGATGAAGTCAATGTTTTTTGTATACTCAATAGTTGTATAACGTTTTTTAAGTTATTGTAAATTTTGTTTTAATTTTATTTAATTTATCTAATATTTTTTAATAACGTAATTTTCTATTTTCAATTTGTAACTATATTGTATTTTTTATATTTTATTAATTTATTAAATTTTCCAAGTTTCATATTTCATTCATCCAACCAAGGTATGATTTGTATCATTCAAATTTAAATGAAATAAAATTCCTAATTTTCTTTCAATTTGTTATTCATTGAGTCTTTGTCTCTTTGACTTCTTATTAGGTTAAGTATTTTTTCATTTTTTTGTTAGATTTCTTATCTTTTCAAATAGTTCCCAAAGGAAAGTTAAATATTTTAGTTTTACTTGGAAAAGAAATAAAAAAATAAAAAATGTCAAGAAACAAAAAACAAATAGTCTGGCTCAGTTCGGCCCACACCCAAGGCCCAGCATGGTCTGTAGCCCACTCACCCAGCCTAGGCCCGCGGCACAGCACGGGCCAGTATAGGCTTGGGCCATGCCGGGCCGACCCCCCAAATTATCCCTAGGGAGGGTGGCACGGCCCACACTTTATGTGGGCCACATGGCCCGTTTTATACATCTAACTCTACCCTTATTGGTTGACTATTGCCTTAAACTATCCTCACTATTTTTGACAATTGATTAGCTATACCCTTGTCATTAATATTCGTTAATGGTCAATTAAAATCCATACACACACGACACCATGTGACGTATAAATATTTTTAAAATCCAATATTACCCTCCATCCTCTTCAACCTTAGAGATTTTTATCCTTGGCAACACTAGAGACTCCTTCCGTTTTACCACCAGAAACATCAATAAGTCGAGGGAATCCATCTTCCGACAATAAGACCTAAGAACTTCTGCCAACCCAGATTTGTGGGGGTGGAGCAATTGATGTTGGGGCCACATGCATTTCCAACTTCTTTACACGTCTTCTGTGCGATTACAAACTCAAGTACCGTCGAAGCAGTTCTCAATCTATCACCACTAGACAACAGGTTTGGCCTTGAGAAATTGAACCAATCTTGGTCAGCCACGAGGGCATAATTGCACGGATTGAAATGAAAGCATCTTGTGTGGTTATAGATGCTATGGAGACTTAAGGTAATATTGTTGGGTTCCATCGAAATTGGTGTCTAGTAGCACCCAATACCAGAGATTCATT